GGGCTCTTTCCTTTCTTTTTTCTTAATGGGCTGATCGTTTATTGATTGTCTAATATGGTGATATTTAAGAAGCAGGCGTAGCGTGCCCCGCCCCCGTTACCATCATTACTTCCGAGAATACATTCTTTCCGGACGGTGCACACTAAGACCGCACACCAGAAATGCTACCCTGTAGGGGAAAGACACAATCCTTCGCCAGGATTTTCTGAGGCTCTGCATGCTTTTTTCTGCAGCTTGCCAGATTAAAGCTTTGTCATGGACCGGAGCTTGCAAACGCCTGTTTTTGAACAGTTGTTGAGTTTCAGAAATATCTTTCTGCATGGGATTATTTTCAACTTTGAGGATGAGAATCCCTGAATTCAGAATTTGCTTCCACACCTTGACTAGCTGAGTAGCTCTGAGAGAATCACTTAGCTCCTCTGAACCTTTTGGTCTTTTTTACTTCTGCCTCGCAAAGCATTTGTGAGAAGCCTGCAAAATGTCTCAAAGGTTTGTTATTTTTATCTGCAGAGCAAGTGTAAAGAGAGTTGTGGTAGTTTACTGTAGGAAGTTATTAGTGATCCTTTTAAAAATTCCTTTTCATTACCCCCAGATCAGTTAGAAAGGACGGAGAAGTTTTTCTCGTCTTATGCCTGCTGTTACTTCGTTTATAATTTAGTCATTCTTCAGATCGTTGCAAAAACCTAACTGGCCTCCCAGACCTTCCTCTTCCATCGTTCCTTCCTGGTACATTCTTCACCCCACTTAAGACTCCCTTCAGGCTCAGAGTGGCAGAGGTCTTCCCCTTTACTGCACAGGACAGAAACCACAAAAGAAATGATTGGCGGCAAGGCAGAACCCGCTATGAGCAAAGCTCCATGGCTCATGTGGCAATGTCACATGGCACGTGACAGACGAGGAAGAATTCGCAGCTCCCATTGTAAACAGAGGAAACAAAACCCCGCATCTCAGTAAAACGTGAACAAAATATGTGAGTCATTAACAAAAGAAAAAGTGTAAAAAGTGCTTAATATCCTCCCTCAAAATGCAAAGATACAACTTGGCAAAGATGCTAGACTTCGATGGCTGTATTGGTGAGGGTGAGGAAATGAGTTAATGCCATAAATTGTCTGTTGGTACGATCCCAGGGAAGGCTGATCAGTAATGCCAGACTTTATAAATTAACCGAGCGATTTTGCTCTG